TTTTATTTTTTTTACTTGCTATGGAACCTGTCATTTCACTTTTATCTGTAAGTAATATAGAACACATGTGATAAATAAAATGATACTTTGCTTCTTTATCTTTTATTTCTCCCACTTGGTGGTGTTCTTGATAAGGTCAATGCTAGTAAATGTAAAAGTGTGTTGCATAATTTTGGTTACTGGGGGGGCAATAGGCAAGAGAAATAGCTGTAACCATGCATATTTTCTATTAGAGTGGTTAAGAAAAAGCTCTTTAATAAATGAATACATGTAGTTATGATTTGGTAAGGAACTGGCAATTTTTTTTTCTTTGACCAAAGGCCAGTATTGCACAGGAAGGAGTTTGGATCTGAAAACTCAGGAATTGTGTTTGGTGTCCTGTTACTAAAAGGGAAGTGGCTGTTAATAAGTCAGCCCATTCTATTCCCATTAAACCAGCATCTGTAATGTAGAAATTAAATGTGTTTATGTTCTCTGCCTTTGAAGCAATTACAGATGACTTCAACATTGCATGGAGTCTTCTTTGAGCAGATAAAATATCAGAAGGCTTTTCATATAGCAGAACATTTTGGAGTCAAGCAATTGCATGTAACCTTCAGATTTCAAAGAAAATATCCAGGCTTTAAAATATTCCTTTTTCTTCCCCTTGAGATAGAAGTAAATATAAAAGGACTTTTCTTTACCTGTTTGCCAATCAGCTGAATAATTTCTTAGCATGTGTTTACTTCAAAATCTTTTCATGGGCCTAAAGATTAGCTAAAAGGTTTACTGGATAGTCTCCAGTTATTTGAAATATCATAACCAGTTTTTAATACAACTTTGAAATAATCCTTGTATGAAAAATTCTACGTGCAAGCAAGTACATTTTTATATCATTTCTTAGGTCTTGAAAATACAACTGTCATTAGAGAACTACTTTAAAAATTCCTATGATTACAATGGTAGGGAATTTCGTAGTCTAGTGGTTATCTATACTTCTTCTGTGTATATTATTTTCAGGCTCTTGAAAAATGAGATGACTGAGTTGAATCAAGTGAAGTTGAGTTTTATTCTTTTTCTCATAAGACTAATTGTTTACTAGTTTTCTTCTTAAATTATCCTATTAATATGTTTCATCGTTAGGTTTCTGACATTTTGCAAACATTTATCAAGCTGTTGCTAAATTCCAGGTAGTGTGCTTATTGTCCAAACTACATAGCATGTTAATTTCAAATGCGTATTTTCTGAGCATAAGATTTTTCTGGGCTACCAACTTTACTAAGTCTTCTGGGTTTGGTTTCTGAGCTGCTCACAGAGCATGTCAGCAACATCCATTCGCTGCTCACTTGCCATGTGTTTTCTGTTTGGGGAAAAAAAATGTAGAGTAAGTTCTCGACATTGATCCAGTAGGCGCAGGTACCTTGTGACAACTCATTAGCTGATTTTCCAGGCCTGTGCTTTTCTCCCTACATTCCTGAACTTTGGTCTTTATGACCTGACACAGATTCGAAGGGTCACACTTAGCCCTAGTTAGGGCTGTGGCTCTTAACCTGGGTCCAAGGTGTTTCCAAATTGAGGACCTGGCAAGTCCATGGAGAGGATTAAGAAATCTCATCAACTTGACTATAGGCAACAAACTACAATACTATTAGCAATAGTTTGTTAATATTTGAATTATTATTATCATTACAATGTTGCAGACCTATTGAAATGTATTTAGAAATTTTTTGACCTGTCACTAGCTCTTTGTTATTTAATAGATTAATGAAAAGCACATAGATTACCATATTACAAATGTGTTTTTTAATGTTTTGATTATTATTATATTTCAATGCAATTCATTTTCTATTGTAGTCTTGGATATTTTACTTTGGGCATTTAGCAACTTATTCTGAGAAGGGACTTGTAGTTTTCACCAGATTGCCAAAGGGGTCCATGACCTAAAAGTGTAAAACCTTCAGAGAAGAATTCTGGAGACATATGCAGATTTCTGCTTGCTGGTGATGACCCATTCAATTCAACAAATATTTAATGAGCAAAGTACTGCGCCTGTCATTGCATGAATATGCAATGGGTTATCAAAATATTCCCAAAGAATACTATTTTTGCTTTCCAGGTTAGGATATTCAGAGGACATGAAAAACTAATAGTCACATCAGGGTACATACAAGTTGTTTGTTAAGATCCAAGATCACGTATCAATTTAGAGAAATTTATACACAGCGGAATATCAGGCACACCTATGATCCTGTTACATGGACAGCAAATTGGTCCTTCTGCACAAGTGTCAAAGGAGTTGTAGCCCGTGAGATGGTGTCCCAAAGCTCCACCCTGCCAGGGCATCTCTTTTCTCCTCTGCACGTTTGGTGCTTTGCTCTCCTAAAAACAACAGAGAGCAACAAACAAAACAAAATCTGCACTGTGGCATGTAAAATACCACCAGGGATGCTTGGCCACTGTCACTCTATTTCCGAAGGCAGATGAACCATGACCATGAATCGAAGTTTCAGAGTCTTCAATAGATATCCAGTGACATCCTTTGCTTTGAAGTACTCACTAAGTGTGCTAATGGCCACTGACAAAGGCAAAGATTTTATTCTTAGTTGTAGTACAGGTATATTATATATCTAAACTGAGTATCTTAATATAATAAATACTCATAAATATACTTT